ATGGCTCATAGCTCTGCTTCAACAGCAGGATTTTTCCATGAATTACCTCACAAAGGCCGACTGAATTGGAAACCTGTTTGATTTTCTCCCAACCTTTCGATTTCTTATCAGGAGGTGGTAGTGAGAGGTTTATTGCCCCTTGTTACCCCCTGTGTACCACATGACGCAGGACGCACGATGAGGCTGAAACTCAGACCGACCCAAAAAATTCTCCTATGACTGGAGAATCAGCCTAAAAAGGGCAAAAATGCAGCCCAAGTCTCGAAGTTTTAGCCATTTTAGCAACCATACAGACTTCTGCTATAACAAGAGAGTTCATTTATTTATTATGTATATTTTTTCATGTAGCTTTTTATTAAACTGTAATGCATAAACTGGATGGCACTTTTTAAATCTCCTTTTACTTGTTAAATTGACAATAAAAGGATATTATATTCTATTCTATTTGCAAAAATTCTCACATAATAGAAGTTCTTGTAGTCCAACGTTTATTGCACTGTTGAGAACTTTTTCATTGACTGGAACTTGGTTTGTTGTCTATTTTAATTCTCTTTATGCACTATTAAAGTTAACAGCTAAATAACAGTCCTTATTAGCATCACTTTCTTTTTTAAGGTTTTTCCACAGAAGACTTTCTAATTCTTGGCAATAACTGGGGCTTCTAATTTTTTGTAAAATGGAATTAACCTTCAATTAACCTGAACACCTGCACAATATTATTTAATATCACATCACAGCCCTGACTCTGCATTAATCTATGGGAATAAAGTTACTTTTTCAGGCTACAGATGTGTTTCTCCTACAAGGAGAAATAGGATAAAGTTTTTTAATCATACTGCTGAATTAAAATGCAAGAAAATCGCCTAAAGCATGTTATGGTATATTTTCTCTCTACACTATTGTTGCTAAATGTTTTTCCTTGGAAACATTAATTTACTAACTTAATCGTTTGTTACTTTCAGTTTAAACACCTAGAAACCGTCTCTACTGACTGTTTTCCATAAAAAGCTGTGCACAGGGAATATATATCTGACTCTCTCATCACATAAGCTTCTGCAAACAAATAACGATAATTGTTTATAATGTGACAACTCCTGAAGGAAGCTCTTGTTTCATGATTTATTTCCCTGTTACAAACTGATTACTATTCTAAACAGAATGAAAGATTGCAAAAAAAGAATTAAGCCATTAAATGCCAGAGGTGGAGACCTCTGTATGTGTGAGGATTTAAATTACAAAATGACTTAAAAAGCAATCTGTTGTTGAAAGAAAATGTCATCATCATTCATCTTTTCCCCCTGCGATTATTTCAGTTCCACCCGGTTCTCCTTTTGGGCGAGCCAGCGTGAAAAGCGGTGGAAAGATGGACAGCTCAACTTACTTCCGGCGTAAAGAGAAAAGGTTCCGCTTCTTCATTCGGCGTATGGTGAAAGCCCAAAGTTTCTACTGGATTGTCCTGTGCTTGGTGGGTCTCAACACTCTCTGTGTGGCCATCGTACATTACGACCAACCTGAGTGGCTGACCAGAGCTCTCTGTGAGTGATCTCCTGATATAAATAAATTAATCCGGATATTCACTGAACACTTTGATTAAAACTTTTCATTAATATCTCACAATTAGACACAGCAGAATTGGTTTTTCTGGGCTTATTTCTAACGGAGATGACTTTGAAGATGTACGGCCTTGGAGCGAGAAATTACTTCCACTCATCCTTTAACTGTTTTGATTTTGGGGTAAGTTGTTCCTGGCTGTAATCAGAAATTCCTGTTTTTTTAAGATTAAACCTGATTTGTTCAATTATTTTAAATGGCTTCTGTTAATTAGGAATGGCAGTAGGACAAGTTCACTTTTATTCATATTAGATGGAAAAATATAAAATTGCATTCAAAATTGTGCACATTTTTGTGCAGCTTCACATGCACACACCGTTTAAACAGTCAAAGACAGAGAGGGATTGGTCGAATTCCAGCATAATTTGGGAGACCAAAACCTAAGAGGGCATGCGGATCAGTGGATATTTAAAAATAACTATTTTTAAGTTTATCTCATTCATGTTTGAAATGAATAAATTCCTGTTCATAGTTCACCACATACAGTAGCAGCCATTAAAAATTTCCGCACTCTCTTTAATGGGTCCTTGGCAGGTTCCCTATAATTCCTTTTTAAACATCAATCTTTGTACTAAAATATTCTGTCATGATTTATGAACATTAAGATCTAAAGAGAAGCTTCATATCCTGGTCAGACCATATAGTTCAGTGAAAGGGTAGAGTTAGAGGGGGAAAAAATGCATGCCCAGGAGAAGGCCAGTGGCTGGAAGTTGGTGGAGATTTAGGCTGGGAGTCGCAGGGGAGTAGGCTGCTATTCAGCTGGCGTTTGACTGGGAAGGGCCATATTGAGTTTGCAGAATAGTACTTCCTCATACATGTATAACATAGCAGCAGGTTCAAAGTTTCCAAAAAAGTCATCACTACTTATGAAAGATTATTTGAACAAGCTAATGCCCAACACTAGTTATAAGACAGAACATGACAGTCGGTCAAAGTGGTGACTCAGGGTCAGCAGAGGAGATGCGATGGAGATGCAAAAGACATTGTTTTCCACAGTGTTTTCCACTTTGTGGATTTGGGTACCAAACTCAACCTAAACCAGAGGAAGTGGAGGAAAGGGTTGTCTAAGTAGATTAGAAATAAGATTATAGAAAAGGTAAAGGCTATTATACTATCTCCAAGCAACTTAATGTTCCTGTGAATTCAGTTTTACATATTATTCAGAAATTTAAGATCAACGGGACTGTAGCCAACCACAGTCCCTCAGCCATATCTGTCATGTTGGGTTCAAGGCGTCTAACCCACATGCAGAAACACTCGTGAGACAGGGAAAAAGTTCAAAGGTTTATTTACAAAATATACAATGAGTAAGAACTGGTCCTTGGTTCGGCAGACAGGTCACGAGGGGAACACCACTGAGGAGGACAGAGAGGTTAGTGTTGATCCAGGTTAACTGCAGGTTTTCTGATGTTGGAATAAATACCTGCTCAAGGGTGGAACGAAGCTGCAGGAGGGGAACCTTGAGGGTCCAGAGGCTAGTCGGCAGGCAGAGGGCTGAGGGCAGAGGCTTAACTGAGTGCAGGCAGGCAGATTCCAGACAGAGATCACTCTCCAGGATTTCA